CTAGGCATAGGCTTGGGTTCCAGCCCTATGTTGTGGATATTCCAAAGATTCCCACGAAGCGTTACGCTTCCACATTTATATGACGAACGGCTATGGAGTGGAATTCCCTGCCTGCAGACTTGTTCCTTGAACGTTATAATAACTTGGGTCTTTTCAAGGCGAGAATGAATAGGCATTACTTAGGTGTGCATGCTCCATCGTTGACCTAATCGTCACTTTGTGGTGAGATGTGGTGGGATGGCACTTATATTTTATAAAAAAGTACTTTTTTAATCTTTTATTAATCGACACGTCTGTTCATAACAGTTACAGTGCCACTGAGAGCTTTGAATGGCAAAGATCTTAGGGGCACTGCCACTGCGCCTGTCAGCCTGACACAAGTTAACAAGTCCCATGTACCTGTAATTTCAGCAGCACCCTTACCCTTCTACACTGGAACGCAATAATGCTCACATTACTGCTTGGCGGCATATAATTATAATATTGTATATAATATTATAATATAACATTATAATTATATAATCTGCAATAAGTTTTTCCTAAACGGCCAATTCATCTAAATGTAAATCATGACGTGTTTGTTTGAATGAGTGACACGAATATCGTAGAGTGAGTCAGTGAATGATAGCATGAAGTTTTTCTTTTTGTTGTCGTCTTATACATGAAGTGAAATGAATAAAGTTCAAATAATTTTGAACAATTTATATATACTTGAACGTGAAATAAAAATAAAATAAAATGATAAAAATAAAAAGACATTTTTTTAATTCACATAACACATAAACCATAATATAAGCGAATCATTAAACAATAAAACAGTAAATCAGCAATGCTGAGTCTTCATCCTTTTTGTCTACAAAAAGGGTAAAGACTCAGCATTGCTGATCTTCAATATTCACCTATAGCTATTCATTTCCTGCATCATAATCATGGTTCGAGTTTATTGTATTAACCCATATATCGACGAAAACTACATGAGATTCTTAATAGAAATGTGTAAGTAACTTTTTTATCAAAACTTTAAGGTTACGTTCATTCGTCAATGTGACAATATGTATCAATAGGAAATGATACTATGTTTCCGGATTTAAATCGCGTATTTAATTTTACAAAGAAATATTCCATTTTACACTACATTGTTTTATAAATTATTTTATTGTAACAATATATTTTTTTATTAAGTTAAATTTATTATTAATTAACAATGGAAATTAGTTAAGTTAACACATATTAATTATTACTGCAGTCTTATGTCTGTTTGGGATTTTTCATCACAGGAAATACTGGATCCCAAACTGGTGGTTCGGAGAAACCATCTTCACTGTTGAAATTAGGATTTTTTTTAATTTCAATTGCCTCTCGCAGCATCCTGGGTAGATAACGGACTTCTTTTGCTCTTTTTATCTATTGTGGAATAATGAATTTTACCGACAAATCAACGGTATAGCGATGGGCTCTCCCGGGCTGTACTGTAACTCTATATGTATCAATGCTAAACATGGGTCTCCTGCGATTTTGCTCACATTTTTACTACTTCTTTTTGTTTTATCAATTTTTTTATGTATTTATTATTTGATTATGAAAATATCTGGCCATATCTGTAGAAGAACCGATAATCGCAATGAGTTCTTGAGTGGAGACCACGGTTCGGCAAATTTAGTGTAGGACGCTCTCTGGCCAGATGGAGTGAGGATCTGCGAAAGGCAGTAGAATGGATGAGACATACTGAGGACCGGGTGAAAAAGCGCATTCATCATATGGACTGCGATAGGCCGATGATGATAATGACTTAAAATCTGCCCCTTTATTGACTGTTCGAAGCATTCTAATTAGCCTTTAAACAAATTTAATTGTTAGAAAAAGAGGAAGCTGAATATCTTATTTGTATAAAAGAAGAAATAAGGAAATTAGTAATAAAAAACAAAAGTAATGTGGAAATACTGAAAGCCTTGTTCGAAAATATAATTTTTCTTAAATTTTATTTTCCAGTTACTAGACAGAATGTACTGATAGATTAAATGTCGCAGACTCTATTAATAAAAATGGATGTAGCGAAAAATAGACGTTTCCTTAAAGTTGGTTCAGTTATTTTTTATATAACTCTGTAATATATAAAAGTTGACTTCCTAAACATATTCAGGAAAACATATATACTGTATTTCTTATTTTTATAATTATAACCCAATGGATATGTTTTGTAATAACAATAACTCGTAACTTGTCATTATGTAGCAGCTTTGTCGTCCACGAGGCTTATTAGCAATATTAAAAGTTTCGCTGCGAAATTAAAAACCAAAAACCGAACAATAGCCAGGCTAAGAAAAATGCTATTCTGCATTAAATACATCTGTTTATTTGTTCCCATTCAATTAATGTTTCCTTAAAACAGTAGACAATCAATCGGCGAGTTCATTCTATTTTTAGCTCCCGACGCAAAAAGGAGGGAGTTATAAATATGAAGACTTTGTATATATGTATCTATGTGCCTGTCTCTGGTATTACAGCTCCTAAACGGCTGTACTGGTCTTAATAATGATCTTTTATTTGAAGGATAATAATATCGATACCTCCAATAAACACTACGCCAACTTAATTTTTTGGTCATTCTGTTTTTCGAGTTCTTAGGGTTTTCGCGATTGTTATACATAGGAAATGAAATTATTTTTCTGGATTTAAATCACGTATATTGGTTTTTTCAAACAAACAAACGTTTCGGGCCCTTTACAGGTCACATGTCAACCTTACCATGGGACCTGTAATGGGCCCGGAACGTTGGTTTGTTTGTAAAACAAATATACGCGATTTAAATCCGGAAAAAGAGTTTCATTCTGTTTTTATTTTGTTTTTTGTTTATTTTTTACAAAATCTTTTTTGTTTTTTTCGAATTTGGTTTTTTGTTTCTTAATTTTTTGTCAAAATATTCTGGGGGCATAATATTAGTAAATTAAATAAGGCTGTTTACATTAGAAATAGAAAATGACCAAAACATTACGATGGCTTAGGGTTTATTAGAGGTATCCATATAATCGGTAAGGTTGTTACTGTTTGATGAACATTCAGCTGTTTAAAGATCATTTACTTTTTCCTAGTGCAGCGATCTCAGACATAAAATGTACATACAATTTGTTTTACATCCATTTATCTTTGATTTTAAATTTGGTATATTGTGGAAATGCGATGACATTACAATCTTATCGAGTTCTTAGGTTTTCGCGATTATTCCACATAGGAAACGAAACTATTTTTTCTGGTCTAAATCGCGTATTCTTTTTTTTTTCACTGAAAAAATATCCATCGATACATATTAATACTAAAACTTTATGTGTAAGAATTTAAACCAGCAATCCAATGAAAAGCTTTAGTACAAAAAGAAGCCATTAGTACCTAAGTAGTTTAATTAAAATACTTAACAAAAGAAATGAAAAGCTTAACACTCTGCTATTTGAATAAAAATACACAATACAGTTTTTGTATAGAAAACAATAAACGCAAATAACTCTTTTATGTTCTTTGAATTATATAAAATTACATTATAGTATTATAAAATATGTTCCCCAAATGTCATAACGCAGTCGTTCGTAAGAAAAAAATATGTGCATAAGGAAGGCAACAGAAGTTAATCTAATTATTGCAAAGTTTATCATCTGTGTATAATAAGTATGTTTCTATTATGTTATTTATTTTATACCGTACAAATTATCGATTAGCTTCTAGTATATTGTTCTTTTTGTTTAAGCACCAACATTTTTTTTTTGTTGACTCAATGATTGACTGGTAGAGAAATTTAAAACTGGCATTAAGTCTACCATTTGTATTGTAATAAAGTTTAAACAATTATATCAATAAATTGCAACCTGTTAAATTTTTTTATTAAATTGAAATTCTTCTGATGCTCGTCACGTATACATTAAGATTTCGCTCACAATAATGACTGAATACAGCGTGGAATATTTCGTTGTTTTAATCAGTTTGTGATTTTTTGTGAATTGACGATCTCGCCGCGCGGATCAACTGTTTGTTCTATGGGCGCTCGATGAGGTGGACCGATTTGAGAAACGACCGTTTTTAAATTAGTTTCGAATATTCTAGCTAGCGCTCTGGTAGTGTTTGTACTCGTAATACAGGGAGAAAACGTTATTATTATTTCAAAATGTGAATTGACACTTTTTTATGACATCAAGTGACGGGACGAACAAGTCGTGCGCTTGGTGATAAGCTACACGCCTGTCCATAACAGTTGCAGTGCCACTCAGAGCTTTAAATTGCAAAGATCTGAGGGGCACTACTAAAATGGCCAGACGACGGCAATTCATGGGGCAGCATTTTTTTTCGAATTGAGAGCAGTCTTCGTAAACTAGTGGACGGATTCCACAAAAATAATTTAACATTGTGATGTTATTTAAACTTAGTATTACTTACTTCCATTGTTATGAATAATTTACTATAACATAGTGTCGGCTTGCAGAAGTCAGAGTGTGCGCTCGTAGAAAGGAAATCAGTTCTACCATAGTTTACGACACACGATAAGACAAGTATGTTAACTCTATGGACGTTGAACGTTGAACGTTAGCAGCAGAGCTCCTTGTGAAAGAGTTCGTCTAGGGAAGTACTTACCTATTCTTGCCGCCAAGCAGTAGTGTGAGCATTGTTGCGTTCCGGTTCGCACCCGGAACATCTATCCGGCGCACCATCAGGCATCAGGCGCACAGCTTGTTCGTCCCTCACTTCCTTCACTTCGTTATTATAAAAAAAAGTAACAACGCGGATTTTAAAAAAAGTTGTTAAAATCAAAAACAAAAAGGTTGTTGCAGATCACATAGACAAATACGTAAGGTCCGCTAGTTCGTTCCGTGGCTTAGTTGGCACGGCTTGCTGGAAGACGTTGATTCCGTTCGACCTTGTGAAAATGTTAAGGTTCGAATCCAGCCGGATCGAAGGAATTTTTTCTTAGCGTTCAATCTTTGTGTTAATAATTATTAATCTCATGTTTCTATTTCCAGGACATCAGGCGGTAAAAATAGCCTGTGAAGATTCAGTGGTGCGTCTTGTGTCCAGCGGAAAATACTACAACTCTGTCACCCTGGCCTTCGCTCCCCTCCCCATGGAAAATTTGGAAAGTGCTGACTTCATGTGTCCTTTCTAAGAAAATGGATAACGACATACCCATACATACTGACTCCTGCAATTCGGTTGTTTTTTTTATAAGTAAATTCACTTGCTTTTCGATTATACTCTTAAAACACTGTGTATGTTTTTAATGGCTGATAAAAATATTATTTACGTATTAAAAATATAACAATAATAATATGTGCCAGACAATCACACCAATTGCCTGGTCTCAAACTAAGGAATTCCCTGTACTATGAGTACCAGAGCAAAGGAATTCACTCTGGGGCACTTCCCTAAACTGTTTATAATATATTTTGTAACCATTAGATAAACTTACTTGCAGTTGAGTGAAGTTACCAAAAGCTTTTGAATTTTATTTAGGCTACAATTCTCCGTGACCCCTAAGGTTGAATTAGTATTTATTTCGATTTAGATATACGTGTAAAACGTAGAAAACAAATATGTATAATATATGTATTTCATTAGGTACTAAAATAATTAACTGTTCATTATCCCTTGGTGTATATTAATGAAAAGAATTTTTAAGGAATACTCGTATTACAATTCGTAGAAAGAATTCTAAAAATTAAAAAAAAAATGTAAACATTTTAATATTTTCCAAAGCAAAACTGTTTAATAGACATATCCATAATGTCCCTAATATTTTAGGATCTATGTAGTAGTTTCAATATGAAGAAAACATCATTTTACGTAAGATTATTATTCTAGAATATAATTACATAGTTTAGAAATAAGTATCATTATTATCGGTATGTTATCTAGTCACACATGAAGTTTTGTCAATAAAATTAATAGGATTGATGCGTTGGCTAATTATTTTTCCTTCTGCTATTGCATTTTTGTAGAACTGTTAATTTTTACTCATCATATTATACTGTAATATTTTGGAGTAACTACCTGTGTATACACTATGTAACAAATTGTTAAAAGAGGTTCTATTTGTGGGGGTCGGTTCGGAACAATACGATAACTCAGTTGTCGACCGATTGTTTTATTTTTATTCACAACACCTGAATCCAACGTCAAACTGTCGTATTCGAAACCGAACCGAAATGACGTCACACCCGTACGATTATTCATCGAGTCATTATCGAGTTTCATGATAAAAATATACAATATCTTAATTATTAATACAAAGACCGAACACTCAGAAAAAATTCCTTCGATCCGGTCGGATTCGAACCGACGTCTTCTTGCATACCGTGCCAGACGCTATACCAACTAAGCCACGGAACGAACCAACGGACCTCACGAATTTCTCTATGTGCTTGCGTCGTGTCTTTGTATTTGGTTTTTCAACGACTTTTTAGTCGTAACGCCAGCTATGAGAAATCTATGAAAGATTTATCACCCAGTTAGTACCTTTACAGCTACCAGTCCTGGCGAGAGATGTCGCTATTCACTGTATTAATTAAATTTTTATTGAATTGATATTCAATTATTTTTTGTGAAATTACTCCACTAGTTTGTTATAATTATTAATACAAAGACCGAACACTCAGAAAAAAATCCTTCCGAGAACCGACGTCTTCTTGCATACCTTATTATATATATATCTATCTTATTTTTTATTATTTATTTAACTTCCGTGGCCGAACAGTTACCATGCCGGACTGCCACGCAGAGGTCCCAGGTTCGATTCCCGGGCCGGGAGAAATGTTTGTATGGCTTACATTTATTTCTCTCGTGAGTTTGGGTGTAATTTGTGGTTGTGTGTCCATGGCACCCGCGACACAGGGTTTCCCTAGTGCGGGGCTATGTTGAGTGTGTGCGTTATTAAAAAAATATCACTGATGTTTAAGACTCAATTTATTAATAAGATCTGTATTTATATAATTAAACTCGAATTTTATTTTTATTTCCTTTTGATGGCGTTAACAAACAAACATTAATTGGGATTTTTTATTCCATTTATTACCCCTGGTAACAACTGGGATATTTTAAATTGCATTTGTCGCCTGTGGCAACAACAGATATTTTTATCCCATTTGTAACTACCTGCTAACATAAGGGGTTTTTTTTCCCATTTGTCGCCAGTGGATATCACCACTGGCAACAACTGATTTTTTTTTATCCCATGTTTTTTTATCACCTGGTAACATATGGGTGTTTTCCCCCCATTTGTTGCCAGTGGGAACAACGCCAGTGGTGATGACTGGGAATAAACTTTTTTTTTTTTACTAAAAATAACTGCGCATTTGTCCTTTTCCTTAATGTAATAAATTTCTGTAAATATTAAACTTTTCGTTAGTCTGACCACAAAAGCAAGTTTTTTGCAGGGAAATAAAGATTTTCATGTTTTTATGATAGAGCCAATTAGAAAATTATATTCAAAACTCAGAAACAAAAATCGTGTTACATAGTGTAACTAGTTAAGACTGAGGTGGTAATAGGGACAAAAACTGCTTGTGCTAGGTATCGTAAGGTTTGTAAAGAAACGCATATTTTACATTAATTTATTTATTCCAGGATAGAGATAATAATCCAATTTTTAAGCAAAATATCTTTAACTATTGTCTAACAGCATTCAGATAAAAATATTTGTATTTTACTACAGTGAAATAAATCTCCGTGCAACTGTACAAACGAATTTATAATTAATTATACAATGATGAATGAAATCCTAATTTAATATATAATAATTCTAACTAATTCCTTGATAGTAGGTATTATTTCAAATAGTAGGGTATAATTAAAAATTTCTACGCTTTTTATTTTAAATGTAAAATTAGAACCTGACTAAGGAACAAGGTAAAGGTAAATATGAAGAAAACAAAAGTATTCGATCATCGGAGTATTAAGTTCGAATAGGACCTAATAAGGTCCAATAGGCCAGCACGTTTTATTATCGCATCCATACTATACGCGTTGGTTACATGGGGTTAACACTTATCAGCATAAAACTACATTTTAAATTGACGTGTAGTATATAGTATTTCTTTTTAAATAAAAAAATAATTGCGCATTTGATCTTTAGGTCATCTGATGGAAAATGATGATAAAGTCGACGATGTAGCATGCACTCAAACAATGCCTATTCACTCTCTCCTTGCAAAGGCCCAAGTTATGGCGTTCAGGGAATAAGTCTGCTGATAGGGAATTCCACTCCTTAGCAACGGCCATTTAATATCCACAACAGTAATACTGGACATAAAACCGATATGTGGTATGGAAACTTTTAACGTGGAATTCTCCTTTTGTTATAGGCGTTTAGTATGGACGCTGTGCTGAAGTTTGATGACATGTGGGGTCCAAAACCCTCAGGGTACTTTTCGCCGATGCGCTTTCTTTGGACTTTCCAATATGTTGTAACCAAGTACAAGCAAAATTTCATTCCGAATCATACCGTTTGATTATTAGAAATGCTTTAAGTGCTGGTTGATTACAAGTGTTAAGCATTTCGTAATATTGGTTGATTGATTGGTAAACTTTTGCATCAACTACATTCACTCAAGTTCGTAGATTATAAATTTCAGTCGAAACACAAAACTGCAACGCGAAGAAATCTACGAGCTCGCACAACGCATCGCAAGAATTTGCCAATTGCTCTGTATCGCGCATTTCTGCGATGGTAATCTTCTTTGAGTTTTTTCCCCTATATTTTTTTTATAAATAGCAGCAGTGCACCACTCTTTTTGCGATCCATGTCGCTACCTAGTTTAAAAAATACGTTCAGTACGGTTTACGATCGTCCAAGGGATGGTTACCGGAACCGTGGCATTAGATACCCTGCCGAACGAAATCGCATCGCAGTAATTCGTGTCGCAGTTATCTGCGTTGCAAATTTGCATCGCGCCGATTTACAGTTTTATGTTTCGACCCCAAGATAAACTCTTTTTGTAGAAAAGGCCTGTCCACAGCAAAGGAGCATAATTATATGGGATGAGGGTAAGGCGGGGAATAAAGGCATCTATTATTTATTAAACTGTTTTGCTCTCTAAACAAAATCCAACTTTTAAAAGTAGTGGAGATTAAAAGATAGAAATTATTATGTGAGAATCGTTAAATCAGATATTAAAATTAGAAACTACGTTTCAAATATTTTTGAACAAAAATGACTAATATTAAATAAAAGCACGTCCATAATTAGCACCTAATAATAAAGCGGTACCGAATATTTTCAAATAAACGTAACAATAACATTGAACATTTATTACTAACTTCACAGATATTCAATTCTAATAGACTACAATGTTTTAAATCTATTGATGGTTTGAAATTAATGATCACTTCACAGTATATGGTTTGTGAAATGCATTAAAAAGTTGTAAATATTTACCCGGTTTTCGAGTGTCATTAGCTCATGTTTGTTGGAATTTGGCAAATTTAAATTTTTGCATTTTGAAAATTAGTCTACATAATATTTGGTTAACAGCTTTTATCGGTTGTTTTTATAGTTACCTCATAGCCTCTACAACTGACATAATGTATTTTTTTCAAGGCGTTGTCTTTATGTTTAAGCACTTTACGTTGTGTGCGTAACTTTTTATCAATCACGACCAATCAATGAAATTAAAAATGTATAGACGTATAGTGTTATTTGTAAAATACTAACAGCCTTCCAGGACTATATATTACGAATATCATAAATAACAAATTTATTTTCCCATGACCTTTAATAATTCATCAAATTTTACTTTCGTACAGAAAAAAAATTAAATAGGTCAATCTAAACAGTGATAAATTAATTAAATTGAAAATGTTTTGTAAAATGTCATGGAACAAAAATAAAAAAATAAGTAATATAGCCCTGCTAGATTATTAATATATAAAAAATAACTCTGCATAAAATGTTTTGAAAGTTGAGAACGTCTTATCCAGATACAATAAAAATGTCAAATATAGCTGTCATCAAAGCAAAGTACGATAATAGTTAATATTCGATATAAATACAGTATATAGATAATCTGGTTAAATATATTCGTTACCAGCGTAGCCAGTCACTAATAAAAATTACTCTAGGATCTTTAATTGCATAAATGTACTTAAAAAGGAATTAAAAACAATTATTAAACATCTTTGGTTATGTAATCTAGTAAACGTAGAAGTGTTACATTTCTTACACAGGTACATTGTCACAGGTATATTTTAATAGTCATAAACTGGTATATGTGCAGCATTATACACTGAGTGTTAAGATGTATAATAATTTTAGTAGTATTAGAGCTCCTTGTGATAGAGTTCGTCCAGTGCAGTACTGCCACCTTTCCTATTTCTACCGCCAAGTAGAAATAAAAGCATTACTGCGTTCCGGTTTTAAAGGATAGGGGTACTGGTGAAATTACAGGGACATGGGACTTGTGAACTTATGTCTCAGGGTGACGGGCGCAGTGACAGTGCCCATAAGATCTTTGCGATTTAAAGCTCTGAGTGGCACTGCAACAACCGTGAAGCTCACCATC